GACAATATAATTCCACCAAAGTGGAACAGTAGCAGTGTGGGCGTATATGCAGTGGGACCCTCCAAGCCTATAGTTACTGTGTCACCCAAGAACGTGACACCAAAGGGTACTGACTCAAAGATTTGCAACATTGCACGAGGTGCCTCAGGAAACATAACATCAAGGACTGTGATACCCAATTACACACCTGTAATAGGTGTAACAAGGGTCAGCACCATGCAGCATTGTGCAGAGACACCAAAACAACGTCTCCAAACCCAAGGTGGAAGATAGCATTTCCCACCACAGTACAGTACTGCAAGGTGCAACAAACAACGAGTGTCCAATCGGCAAAGTCTAAAGGTAATACAACTTTGCCTACTGCTCAAATTACCATCCAGAATAAGAGGGCCAAGGTCCATACCCGTGGGTTGTTTGACCAAGGGTCCCAGAGAACATGTCACTAAAAAGTTGGCAGATGAACTACAATTAAGGCCTGTAGCCCAGACGACAATCAACATCTCAGGGTTTCTAACAGATGCAGGACCTCAAGTCTACCAGTGGTTCAACCATCAGTACGTTTTAGCAGGTAGTCTGTCAAGTACAAGGCATTGTGGTGGACAAAATACCAGCAGACATACAAGTACAAGGTCTGAGAACAACAGCCAAATTCCTGAGAAATAGAGGAATAAAATTGGCAGATAATATTAAGTCTGATCACCTCACCGACTGCGGTCTCCTTGTTGGGACAGACTACTACCATCGATTCATCGGTAGCCCTACTAAATATCAGGGCATAACCGTGCTAAATTCTGCAGGAGGCAAATTACTCTCAGGCCCAGTATTAAGCCTGAGGAGACCTATGCCTGCAGATAAACAATATCAGTAGAGATCTAAATTTGTCAGCTGATTATATATCTCCACTAGCATTATACTAAGGAGATTACAGCTGACTATAGCAACAGAGGTTGATGTTAATATCATCATTTAAAGCTGAAGATGAGTTCATGAGGCCTCAGTGGCAAATCAGTGAACAGTAGCCTAAACAGCTACAAGTCACTGCGACCAATGTCACTGAACCCACTGCAGTCTCAGAACCATACTTTACTTTAATGATGGACTATTCAATCCTCTGAATCAACTAACAAAATTAAACCCCTATTTGTCAGCCAAATAAACTTCAGCAAATAAGCACAAGGAGCTTGACTGACTATATTGATCCGACGACTGCTTTTGGTACATTCATTATTTAATCAAGATGAACTCCAAGGGCCTCAGTGTTTATATATCAGTGACCAGTTACCTGAACAGTTTCAAGTTATATAACTAATGTTACTGATCTCACTACAGTCCCTGAATCATACTTGACTGTAGTACTTGATCACATTCAGTCCTCTGGTTTGATATGTAATTAGGCTAGAATTATAGCCTCT